TCTCTCTCTCTCTCTCTCTCTCTCTCTCTCTCTCTCTCTCTCTCTCTCTCTCTCTCTCTCTCTCTCTCTCTCTCGTGTTGAAGGAGATTGTTTATGAATTGCGCGAGTGTTTTCTTTTCTTGATGACGTCGCAAGGTCTTTACAATTGAGTGATATGTGGACTGACCAGTACCCTCCGATCGGGCACCAGCCTCCCGTACCTCCCGTCCAAACACGGCCTTTTCCGTATAACGAGGGAAGGACACGTGTATGTGAGTGGGACGTACGAGAAGCCGTTGCACAAATCGGCGGACAATACTACTTCCCTGCGGCAAATTGTTGTTCAGGGTTCGTAGAGGCTGTGTTTGTCATTATCGATACGCATTTCCCACCTTACTTGATATTGTTTCCATTCAACGAGTTGATCGTCATCCCGTGGACGGCAGTAAAACCCCACTGGCCGCGCACTCTATGCACCGAATGCCAACGTTTTGAGCGCTACGAATCTAGGGGTTTCCACTACCGTGTGCGGAGTGAAGACGAGCATAAAGAAAGAGCCACGCGGCTGAGGCCATCCACGTCGGACTCGGAACTGACCATCGAACGACGACGAGATTTGATACGAAAACGAGACACGCGAAGCGTGCCAAAGCCTTTCCGTTGTAAACGACAGGCTGTAGCCCAGTGGGAAGCCCGACAATACTTTTTGGATTGAATTTGGATTTTTCTCTTTTCGCGCCGTGCCCGCTCGCGCATTCCGCGACGCGCAAAAGCAATCGACTTGCTTTATTAGACCAACACGGGGGATTTCAGTTCCATCTGTGTCCCCACACTCAATTTCCAAAAATCCTTGGCACACCCCATCTTGCTGTTTTTCTGGGCCTTTTTCCGCACGCCTAACACTCCGAACGAAAGACAGCACAGGGCGTGAGGTTGCGCGTCACAAACCGACGCTCAAAGGAATTCGTAATCTACCACAAAACTCCTACAAATCCAAGACGCGGTCCCGCTTAAATGGGTTGCGGTGGTAAAGCAAGGCCCCAACATCAGATAGAGGGATTGGGTGAAAATAAATGACCCCAACCCCATTCCCATGGGCATCTACAGAGTGCACAAAATGGTGGGCAACAGGGCCCACCTCCAAGGGTACGAACCGGATGCCCCAGGAGCTCGTTGGACCCATCTAAAAAGGAGCCAGGAACTGGACTGCCAGGTTGCGCCAAGACTCCTTGATGTGAATCAGGGTGGTGGGAGATGTAGACACATCATGATGTTTTTTTGGGTACGAAATGTCCTCTCCTTTCTGCGTGCTCCCTTCTGACCAGGACGAATGGGAGTGGCCAGGCCACAAACCCACTCCTATCTGGCAATACACAGTCAAAGGAGCCCACAAACTGGCCCACCAACCCCAGTCATCATCCCCGGTGGTCCAGAATCGGTGGAAACAGGACTCCCCGGTACCAGCAGTAGATCTCTCGGATATCCCGTGGTTCACATATGCGCGCATAATGCCAACCTCACACCAGGCCCTTTGGTGGCAAATCGTGCACCATTGCCTCCCGACCCCAGATTGGATAACTTCCAGGTCCAGTCTAGAGCAAGTGGGAATCCTGTCTCCGATCTGCTCCTACTGCGGACACTCGGCGCCATGTCGAAAAGCCAACCTTGAGCATTGTCTGCTAGCATGTCCGATGGCCATCCAGGTATGGAGATGGTGGGACACGCTTTGGATCAAGCTCACAAACTCTCCCTTCCACTGGGATCCGGGGCTCAGTTTACTTGGCAACTAAACAAAAAAAACGCGCTCTTGGTCGTGCTTCCAACACAACCTATTCAAGCACACCCGTCTGGCCATCCTCATGGCAATATGGAGGATGAGGTGGCACTGCTCGTTCGAATACAAAGAACACACTTTTGGCCTGACTCAAGCCAACGAGGAGATCCTGGAAGTGATGAGAGTAAACATAACTAAGGCCAACAAAAAGCTTAAAGCGGACCTGGCCACGACTCCAGACCAACTGCAGAGAGAACAGATCACTGAAGCCTTCAAAGAAATCTGGCTTCACCCGAACCGCAAGATGGCAGATCTGAAGGAGAACGGAGTCCTAGTATGGAAGAACTGGGTAGCCCGAGAAACACAGTCACTGTGGCGGCTCCGGCCTTCACACAACTTTTTCACACCTTTACCGGGTCAAACCAAGGGAGCATTAGAGGAAGACAGAATTGTGCTATCACAGAATCCTTTCCCTGCAATCCACCCCTCTCCACCCCCCC